GCTTGCAGTAGACTTATGTACAATGCTTGCGGTAGACATTTGACTTTTCCACTACAAATTATTTTTTTGCCCTAAACGTAAATTGTAATCTACAAATAATCAGAGGTGTGGTAGACTTTTTTTTTTAGTGTTGTTATAGTATATGTGGTAAACAGGTTTCATATGTTTGGTAGACTTGTTCCATGGTTATTTGCGATTTGGTTTTGTAACTATGATCCGAGTTATAGTATATGCACTTTGGTTTGGTTTTGTTCCAGTGTTCTTATAGTATATGCACGAGTTTGCGGAAAATTGTGATCCGATCACAGAAGATTAGAAGATTATGGGGATACTTACAGTCAATTTGGTACGTAGATCATAGTGACTGCATGAGAAGGGATAGAGATAAACATCTAATTTGAACTCTGTTTGTCACTTAGTACTACAACATAGAAGGAAAATACTTCATAACACAGACATCAGTTTTTTTTTTAAAAAAGGGACATAACAACATTTCTTAGTACTTAGGGAACATTACTTATACTTAAACATAGAGAACATTACATAGGGAACATTACTTCTACTTAAAGAAATATGATATGGCAGCAAACACAAACAGAAATGCCAGCATCAAATACCCTTCACCTCGGTTGACGTTTTGCTCTTTGGGCCTACCAACTTCTCCTTGAAGCTGCCATATCTCTTCATTTATTTCTCTAATGTCACCGAGTGAGCCATTGCTCTCCAACGACCTTTGCAATGTCTCCAAACAAGTCTCCAAACGAGGATCAAAAGCTTGGAGTCTGTCAAGCCTTTGCAAGTTCTCGTTAATCTCCTCTAAGTCCGTCTTCACGATTGCGAATTTCTCTGTAACAGCCTCATCCCACCATTGCCAGATATGTTCTCGCCTTCCCTACATACACCAGGCCGAAATTTTTATGAATCAATTTCATTAAAAACCTAACATAAACAACTAACAAAAATTATGACAAATATTCAGGCAACTTACATCCTTTAACCAATCTGGGCATGTGTAATACCTTCGGCCTGGTTTCCCTGTCTAGGCACCAGTCGATGTTTCAAGAATCATCTCCCGACCACAGAAACATTTTTGTGGAATCCCAAAAGATCCATCTGCATAAACCCAACCCATGTCCATTTGAGGTCCTTCTGATGAACTATCGCTATTGCATATCGGCATTGTCTGTGTCCATAGAAAATTGAAATGAACACAAACCAAACGGGGAAATGAACAGAACTATCGGAGATAATGATACAATAAGTCTACCAAATGAAAATTAATTTATGCAACTTTGCCTAATAAATCTACCATTACATTTGACCTGAGATAAATAAAATTAGGGTTTGTCACCACCGCCCTTTGCCGCGAGACCACCATTGAAAGAGGAAACTACAGAATTTTATTCGTCAAACACGACACCACCACTCACTCACTCATACTTGCCACAGCGAAAAACCAATTCCCCATGTCCCAGAAATTTCCATCAACCCAATTCGTCGTTGTTTAGAGAAGGGAAAGGAGAAAGAAAAGCAAAGAAGGAGTTTTCTTACCAATTGATCACTGGGTTCTCCTTCGCCACTGCTGCAATCATCAAATCACCTATGTCGCACTAACCGTCTCCAAATTGCCTACGTCGGGAAGAATACATGTATTTTTTCCTGAACCCAATATTAATCTTTTTTCATATAAAAGTGTACTTAAATGAGTCTGTTGGTAGACTTGTTGACAATTAATGAGAATTATTTTCCGTTTGATAGAATTATTTATTTTGTGGTATAGTTATTCAATATATCACGTGACAGTCGATTCATTTGACAGTAGATTTGTTCAAAAGTGGTAGATTTAAATTTAGCACATTGCAATTTGACCTTTTGGCCTGATACTTATTCTCTAATCTACCGAAAATCCAGAGACAGCTGAGACATCTTTAACCTCTAGGGTTCGCTGTTGAGCTGTTATACTTGTCAAAAGTCTTGCATGTTCATTTTCTCCAAACTTTTTGCATCCCCATCTTCTATCAAGCTCATTTTATTCAATATTTTGGCTCTTATCCACTTTTATCTCCATGGATCAAGTTGTTTTGGTTTTTCGAAAGTGGATTTTGGGTCTTCGTCACAGATCAGTCCAAGAGATGTAGTTTTATAGAGATAGACCGCCAAACCTCTTATGCTGATTTCCTTGAAATCCCATATGAAGATTTTGATTTGGATCATCAGATTTATGAGATTCAGATCAGCTATATGTTGTCGATTGAAGTCCGGCGAAAATTACCTCAAGATATACCTCCTGTATTTGTTGGGAATTCAAGACAGCTGAGTAGATTTTTGCATCAATTCCAAAACGAAAACGAAATGGTTCATTTATGTTTAGAGATTTCCAAAAAAATCTAGAAGCCATTGGCTGATGACGACGAAGATCGAGATGCAGCTCCTCCTCATGAATTTCATGAAGATTGAGGTGATGCTGAGGTTTGTAAAAGCTGTGAAGATCGTCCTTAAGAAGTTCATGAAGATCGAGAAAGAAAAAGGGATGAAGAAGAAGAGGATTTCTTGAGCAGATTTGATGGCTGTGAAGATCTGGGTGGGGCAAGTTCCGACGACAACGAGTACGGTAGAAGTGTAAAACGTACGAACGGTGGAAGTTCAGATGAGGAGGACATGCTAAATGTTACCACCAAAGAAAAGGGGTTCGGCCATAATTTCTGACTTCCAAAGTCTTGAGATTTCATCTTAGACTTAGCCTGGGCCAGCGTTATTAGACGAAAGAGGAATTCGAGTTAAGACTCAAAATTATTTCCATTGCTTATAAATTTGACTACAATGTTGATCATTCGAATCCCAAATTGCTGACGGTGAAGTGTTGGGTTGATGGATTCAAATGGAGGGTCCATGCTTCAACAGTTGGAACCGGAAGATGTTTTTGGGAACATTAATAAAGCTAGGAGTTGAAGAGGAAGATAGATTCAAATTTATGTTCCTCTCATTTGGTGCAAGCATACAGGGGTTTCCCTTCATAAGGAAAGTGGTAGTTGTCGATAATACGTTTTTACATGGGAAATACAAAGGTACACTACTACTCACCACAACGCAAGATGGAAATTTTAATATTTTTCCAGTAGTTTTTCCCATTGTTGATACAGAAAATGATGAGTCTTGGGAATGGTTCTTTATAAAACTACACCGTGTTATCCCTGATGATGAAGGACTTGCCATTAATTCAGATGTACATATCATCTGCATAAGAACATTATGTTAAATTCAGAGACGCTGAAACCTTCCAGCTTGTTAAGAAGGCGGCAACCGCTTACAGGATTCTAAATTTCAATGCCTTTTTTTTATCAGATTCAAGAGGCAAATCCTGCACTGCATGCATATTTGGTGAAGGCATATATTTGTATGTGGAGTCGTGTTCATTTCCAAGGTGATAAGTACAATTTCACCACCAGAAGCATAGCAGAGTTATTAAAAAGGGTGTTATCTGCTACAAGAGGAAAGCCAATCATACGTCTTGTGGATGATATTAGGAGTCTGCTAACCAGATAGTTTGATAAAAGACGTGTCAATGCCAATAACATGGCAACAACTCTGACAATGGGCGTCGAGAAACTGCTTCAGGTATCCCCTTAATTATTAAATTGGTAGACTTTTTTTTTTAGTTTGGTGGTAGACTTTCAGTTAGTTTGGTGGTACACTTTCATTTAGTTTGATGGTAAAAGTTATATTAGTTTGGTGGTAGACTTTCATTTAGTTTGGTGGTAGACTTTTATTTAGTTCTTTGGTAGACTTTCTTTTAGTTTAATGGTAGACTTCCTTTTAGTTTGGTGGTAGACTTTCATTTAGTTTGATTGTAGACTTTAATTTAATTTGGTGGTACACTTTCTTTTAGTTTGGTGGTAGACTTTCTTTTAGTTTCCAGGTGAACTTTAATATCGTTCGGTAGAGTTAAGTTAATTACTCTTCTGACAGGTTCGAGTTAAAGATGCTAAACTTTTACCTGTGCAAGAAATTGATCAAGATCATACAGAGGTTTTAGGCACAACTTCTGCGCATGTTGTCAATTTGATTGAGAAAACATGTACTTGTCGTCAGTTTGATTTGGATAAAATCTCTTGTGTACATGCCATCACTGCAGCCGATGCGAGGAAGTTGTCTCCAATCTCCCTTTGCCATCACTACTACCACACCAACTACTTGCAATAAGCTTACACTGTTAGTGTAATGTCAAGAGATGTATCACTCCCAGTGCCAGATGAAGTAGCTAAAAAAATTTGTCTCCCGCCTTATGTTCGCAACCCACCGGACAGGCTAAAGAAAATTCGGATGAAGGGGGCGTTCGAGGCCGCCATGGCGAACGTCCTAGAAAAATCCCAGATGTGGGAATTGTGGCCACGGCGGACATAACAGCCTAACTTATTGAGCTTAATTATGTAAGCTATCTAAGTTTTTTTTCTTGTGTGTATTTATGTTATTAGACACTGTAATAATCCGTTTGAAACCAAGTTTTACGTACTTGTATACTTTAATAATCCGTATGCAAAACATGTTTACATAGATTAAGAAAGAAATATTTAGCTTTTGACATTAAATCTACCAATCTAAGAAAATAAATTTACCAATCTAAGATAATAAATCTACCAATCTATGATGATAGATCTACCAATCTTCAATAATAAATATACCAATTTGTGACAATAAATCTACCAATCTATAATAATAAATATACCATTCATTTTTAACATAAATATGGTTTACATGACAAATATGATAACATTTCTGGCTGGTTACAACAAAAATACCAAACTTCCAGAGGACTACGATTATGACTATAAATTTGGTCCTGTGGTCCCGTGTAAGTATAGTTACATTAATATCCAGTTGCTGTAAAATCCAAAAAACACGCAACATCCAAATCCCATAAGACTATGACTGAGGGACGATCTGAGAAACAACTCTACCAAAATAAAAAAACTCAGATCCAAAAAGTCGATCCTAACAATAAATTAGTTAGCAGAGTCTATCAGTAGACCGTACTTGTCATTGACTGCACCACGTGGGTTAGGATCAGATATCCGAGATTCTTCAGCTACATGTACCTCATCATATATCTCAACTGCATATTTCATACAATTGGAAGGCATGTTGCTATCTTTCAACGGGTCCCATTTATGGCACAAAGCCAAACACTCAATGGTCTTTATGGTATAGACGCCACAATCACCTGGTAATAAGTATCCGAAAATTAGTAACAAGTCTGCTAAACGTTGTAACAAATCTACCAAATTACGAATTACATATCTACAAAACTACACCTGTCTGTTTTTTGTGTGGAGCAGTTTTAATCATCTAGACAAGAAACTGGCCCTATTTCATGTCCTTCTTCAGCTCGGGTGGTGCAATTTGTTTCAACAACAGCAGAATCATTCTCGCATACAGCTTCACAGAGTCCTCCAAGTGGCCTTTCTCGTACAAATCTAGAATGCAATCAAACACTCGGATCTTTCTCTTTGGAATATCCACCGCCACAGCCATCCAATGTTCGTACTAACGTAGTGGGCAATATACAAGAAATTGACATCTTTCCCCCATGTGCTATGTGTAGGCAAGTAGAGGTCATAAGCCCCAAATAACCTTCAGAGAATATCCAACCCTTCTCGTTTGGTAGAAATTTGTTCCAATAGTCTCCACACCAAAATCGGCAAAATGTATGGTCGATGAAAGCAACCCTTCTCCCTTTGTAAGGAGATGGATGACGCATAGACCGTTGCCAAAACATGTCAAATTCTTTGCAGATATGCTGCATTACGTCAAAAATAGTGGTTAGAATACATCATCAAATATGACACTACCAAACCCATCGAAATATCTACCATAAAGAAACAAGTTTACCAAACACAAGTGTACTATAAACAATTCTACCAAACACAGGTCTACCAAACACAAGTATACCATCAACTAGTCTACCAAACACAAGTCTACCAATATAAGTACAAAGTCTACCAAACTAAGCAAACCAGGTTTCAATATTAGTTCCCTATTAGTTAACAAGTGTGGTAAACTTATTTCTTATTATAACAAATCTACCACAACGTACCAAGTCATGCAACCACCTGTACTCCTTGGTTTGCCATGCTTTTTTAGGGGTCATAAGTGTCAGGTAAAATTTTGCTACTGCGTAGGCAGTGTCTAAGTGATTTTCTCTGAAAAATGTAGTAAATTTACTAGACTAAGAAAGAAGTCTACCAAATTAACTAACAAATCTACCAATCAAGGTTTAAACTGACTTACGCTTCATAAGCTATGCAGTGAAGTAGATTATCTAGTATTACAGCGTCCACCACTTCAAAAGAATCATACCTCCCAGGAGGGGGAGCTGCACCAACCATGATGCATCTCACCACCGAGTTCCCGAGGTATGGTGACACCTGGGAAAAGGTAAGGCTTCGTCCCCTTTTGTCCTTCTCAGTTGGTGTCATTTTTGCACAATCTACCAGCTTAGATAATCTTTTCGTCATAGCTTCTACTGCTGAGTCATTTTTGTCTTGCAGGGTAGGGATCTTTAATGCACGTTTGGACAGTAGAGGACGCGAAACATCACTGAGATTGATTATCTGTTTTTCAAGGTTTTCCTGTTTTAAATCAGTTTTTGATTTTATGCCTGGTTGTTTCTTCTCTTTAGGATCAGCTGGTTCTTTTTTCACTTTGGGGGCCGTCTTTCCTTTCGACATTGGGGTTCTAACAACTCCTGCAAAATGAAACCCTGGCTCTGATGTTTCCTGCATCTCCAACATCCACGACTGTTTGGCATGCATAGCAATTAAACATCAGTCAAACCATTTAATTTTAAAATCTACCAAATATTAATATTATTAAATCTACCAACTTTTTAATAAATCTGCCCAACTTATAATAAATCTACCACAGTAAAACAAATATCTCTACCGTAATTCTTCTATTTAAAGCAAAGTTTAAAAGTCTACAATAAAGAAAAGTAAAAAACCCAAAACTATTAGGATACAAATCTACCAACTTTTTTATAAATCTGCCCAACTAATAATAAATCTACCACGATAAGACAAATATATTTACCGTGATTCTTGTATTTAAGGCAAAGTTTAAAAGTCTACGATAAAAAAAAGTAAAAAGTAAAAAACCTAAAACTTTTAGGATACCAATCTAACATAGTAAAAACATATTTCATACAAATCTACCAACACGGAAAATGTTTTCTGTTTTAACAAATTTCTCGGAAATGTGTGTTGTCTCCAGTAACTTTTGCTAAGTTACTGTAATTAGAAGACAGACTTGCGTATCAGATCCTTTTCCACAGCTCCCGCTCCTGCTCCTGCTCCTGGTAACACTCCCACTCCCGATCCCGCTCTTGGAGATGCTCTGGATTCTGCATCTACACGCATCATAAAGGTTATCTACCTTCACCCCTTTTCCATAGCCTTATCTTTCTTCTCGATAGTTGTCATCCTCTTCTCAATTTCATCCAGATGGGTTCCACAACAGTGTGTGACATTAGTGTTTATCAATGCAATCGTCGATGAACATTGAGTAATTGCCACAGCTCCCGCTCCCGCTCCTGCTCCTGGTAACACTCCCACTCCCGATCCCGATCTTGGAGATGCTCTGGATTCTCCATCTACACGCATCATAAAGGTTGTCTATCTTCACCCCTTCCTTTTCCATAGCCTCATCTTTCTCCTCGATAGTTGTCATCCTCTTCTCAATTTCATCTAGATGGGTTCCAACAGTGTGTGACATTAGTGTTTATCAGTGCAACTGTTGATGAAAATTGAGTAATTGCCTTGAGGATCTCACTAGTTCTCTCTTCCTTCTCGCTAGTCTGCTCTTCCTTCTTGCTCTCATTTTCTCTTTGCCTAGAACTTTCCTCCTGTGCTTGCTTCTCTCTCTTCTTCTCCTTTCTCTCTTTTATCCAGTCACGTCCTTCAATAGCTTGACTGAGAATCATAATCATCGTCCTCCTCTTCCTTGCCATCCAACTCCTTCTCCTTACGTTTATTTTTCTCTTTCCTTTTCTCCTTCTTTTCGTCCTTTTTCTCTTCCTTCCTTACCTCCTTTTCCTTCTTCATTTTCTTGCTTTTCTCCACAGAATCCGTTCCTTCATCCACTTTCAGCTTCTCCTTCTTTTTCATCTCCACACGTGCAGTTTCCATCTTCCGCTTCTTCTGTTTAGGCGTTTGAACTTTATCATCACCACTTTCCTGCACAATACCCTTCCCTTCATTTATCCCTGATTCTCAAAATACCTCATCCAAGCTTTCACCCAGAATATCGCAGATCATTTTATGCACCTTTTTATCCACGTCTGGGCCATGGGGTTCACTTTCAAAAACAGGATACATTTTCTCCACAGGCTTCACCACCATTAGATGTCTAACCCGAAACTGCCATGTCATACGAAATGATATTAAAACCACATATAACTTTACATAATATAATAAGTTTACCAAAGATAACTACCATAATGAACAAGTCTACCAAACTCTCATAATAAATCTACCAAACGTATTTCCAACTCTTTCTAATTACAAGTGCATGATAAATAAGTCTACCCTATTAATAACTCTATCGTGACAAAATATCTGAATAAGCTACCAGAGAAGTTAATAATGTACCTTGTTGTCCTCGGATTGGCACTTATCCATCTCCAAAAGATTCTCAAAAACGTATCAGTATCGAGATGAACTCCATCAAAGAAGAGGAACAACCGAATCATTCGCATTTGGGGATCTTTTTCCTGCTCCTTCTGCCAATATTGGGATGCACTCATAACCCCAAACAAGCAAGTCCTGTACACATCCGTGGATAGTATATCGTGGTCCCTCCAAATTAGCAATCTTGATGGAGTATAATAATTCTTTGAAACCATAACCCCCTGGTTGTCTCTCAAAAGCTGTTTCATCCATAACTTTTTTCGCTGACATCAACGGGACTCGACTGTTGCGGTGAATTCCCAATATGCCAACATGCAAGATGAAAAGCAAGGCCACCATCTTCTTCTTCTCATAGGCCCATAATTGGCAACTTCTCATAACCGATTCTAACTCATAAAAATTAATTAGGACTATCCGCTGCTTTCACTCCCATCTTGGCCCAAAATTCGCTGTGGTCTATTTCCAAATTGTCATTGTGATCAATGGGATCACAGTTGAGTTCGGTAATTTCAACATACTCAAAAAGTGAAAACCTAAGAGGACGACCTCCAATGAGTGTCCACAACTCATAATCCCTATTCACCGCCAGTTGGTTGCTTACAAAATGATGAATCGTCTTAGCACTCCATAAGGAGGAATTAAACGCAAGCTTCAGGATCACATCAACTTGAGAATTATTCATAATGTCATTTAAAATAGCATCCGCAAGTTGAGCCCTCATATTTATGAATTCATGAACCTTGCAGTTATGATAAGCACTCTTCTTACTCATAGGAGCTCTGTGTTCTGGGTACAGTCTTGGGGATAATCCTTTGTGCCGCTAGCAGAAGCCATATATGCAAAAATGGTTAAATTATACTAAGTCCACCGCATTTAAAAACAAATCTATCCAAATTATAAAATCAAATACAAATCTACCAAATACATAAAAAATCTTCCCAAAAGAATTACACCAAAGAAATCAACCGCATTAAAAAATAAATCTACCCAACCAACAAAAGAAATACACCAAAGAAATCAACCGCATTCAACAACAACTCTACCAAAAACGAAAGCAAATCTAGAAAACATACCATGACTACTACAATCATTTAATAACAAACCAAACCAACAAACACAAACAAATCTACCATACCAAAATTTTTCCAAACAAATCTACCATGTACCCAAACAAATCTACCATTTCTCCAATTAAATCTACCATTCATACAATAACTCTAAAAAACTCTACAATATTCATTTTAAAACTCAACAATACAATAAAGATTACTCACTGAATCGTTTGGTCCCACCAGAAACTGTTTCGGAACAACAGAAACCACCGCAACCAAAACTTCTCTGAAAAGAAAAATTAGGGTTACAGTTTCAGAGGAAACAAAAACAAAATTAGGGATTCTCACTTCCGCCGTCCGGCGCGACACCACCATTCGAAGCAGAATCACCAATACACAGATCGACACCACCACTCACTCACTCGCACTCCCAAACGCGAAAACCCATTTCACCCTAACCCAAAAACCTCGAAAAAATTTCGTTCAAGACGAGAAAAAGGAGAAATAAGGCTAGGAACAAATAATCTTACCAAGTTATCGCCGGAAAGTCATTCACCGCCGCCGATATCGCCTCACACACGACGGTCGCCTTGAGGGTCGCCGAATCGCCTCTCTCAGAGAAATTAAGATTTTTTTTTCTAATCCCACAATTATGATTTTTATTTCTATAATTGTATATGTATATTTGTTTGCTTAAACTAATATTCAAAATAATCAAATTTTTAAAATTTTTATTAACCAGAATGTCAATCTGGTAATAAAATTCAAAATCTAATACGTATTAGACTAACATTGTAAGATTAGTCTAATAGAGCCCAAAATACGAAAGATTACTCTGGTCAATAATGTAACCTTAAAGGTTAGTTTGAGTAATTTTCACTTTATGTTTTTCGCTAAAAGTTAAAATTCCATGATTTTTCCACTAAAAACAAAATTTTCTATTTTTTCATTACAAATATGAATTTTAGAATTTTTTTTTTCTGACAAAACGAAATTTTAGAATTCATCATTTTCCCTCCAATAATAACAATTTCACTATTACCGTACTTTTGTAATTTTCCTCCCCTTCACAGAAAACATGATTCTACGTTTTCCACTAAAAAATAGGGTTTCACAATTTGTCCAGACATAAAATTGGAGACTTTTGAGTCCATCATTTTTTTTCAATGGTTCCGTATTTTTTTCCATACATAACATGATTCTTCGATTTTCTGCCAAAGACACAATTTTATTTTATTTCTTCTCGAATATACGTTTTCTAAATGTTGATTTATTCTTCATAAGTTTTAGAAACATTGGTACAAACTAAAAATATTAGAATTTACAAGATGACACGTCTTAAATACCATTAGATATGGTTCATAATTTATTCTATTTTTGTTATATACCATTACTTTTTTAAAAAATTCTACATATTCTCTGTTGGTAACATTTTATTATGATTTATTACTATATCTTACCTTTTGGATTTTCTACAAGACATGTTATATTTTATTATGACATTTTGACATATGTCGGAAACCTAATTATAAACTTATAATAATACTTTGTGTCACATTGCTGTATGACTACATAAACATATCAAAACAGTGAATTTTTAATAATAAAATATAAATAGGTGTTATGAGCAGTGTAGTAAGTTGCAGTTTCATTGTTTTCATCATCTGTATATTTTTTTTTTTTTGTAAACCTTCATCAGCTCTATTCAAATTTCAAACTTTTTAAGTGTTCAAAAAAATGGTTTGTTAATTTCTCGGAAAAAAACATGTTATATAAAGTTTGACACATTCAAACAGGTGTTGTTTACATAATGAATTCATTTTCAATTCATTTCATTTTCTGCAGGAAAAGTATAAATTCGAGTTTGGATCTAAGGATCAAGATGCCAGGGATGATGCTCTAAATTATATCTTAGCTAGTAAAGGTACATGCCCATAAAATCTAATGATTATTTTGAGCCAAAATAAGCGATTTGTTATACATAAATATCGATTAATACGCAGAGAGCATTTTAATTAGGCTTTGAACTTTTTAACAATGTATACGAATGTATTCTCTTTTTTTTGGTGTTAGGAGTTTGTTTTCTAAAATTTAGCGTATTAGACGACGTCCTTACCGTGGAAGTAACGGGAGAAGGAATTGATGAGAAGAAAATGAAGAGGACGATTAAAAAGATTTTTTTACAGAAAAAGAGGCGTGCATGGTGTTTTAGTTCCAAATAAATGATATAGTTTTTTATTTCTGCCTTCGTATTTGTAAAAATAATAATATATTTTAGATAATAATCTGCTTAGAATTTGCAAAAGTAATACTATATTTTAACTAATAATCTGCTTATCTATGTCTTTCTATTCTATAAACGTGTTTGGATTTTGGTTTAACTATTCATTAAAATCAACGTATACTCGTATAGTCGTATAATGTTTTTTCTTTTGTATACTATGATCTCTTTAGCCATCTCTAATGTTTCTTCATCAAACTTATATTTTATTCAACATTATTAAGATAAGGTCAAATTACATTAATGTCTGGAAAGATTAGACACGTTATATATATTATTTTTAAGGAAAAGCGGATTATGATCATTCTAAGGAAAGGTTATGATAAACATTGAAACCACACATCAGTTAAACTGAATTGAAAATGTTACAGCTACTGAATTGTAATTATAGAGAAATATTAATCTATTAATATTGTAATTATAGGAGAAAATATCAATCTATTTATATATTGTAGCTATAGGAGAAAATATTAATCTATTAATATATTGTAATTATAAGAGAAAATATCAATCTATTTATATATTGTAACTATAGGAAAACTTATCAATCTATTAATATATTGTAATTATAGGAGAAAATATTACATTCCTCATTAGAGTTTTTTATTTGTAATATTAAAAAAATGAACCAAACTGTATGTAATACCCTAGTCGTTAATAATACATAACTTATATACTGAACATATTAATTTCATCTTTATAAAAAGTCAATCGTTTTTATTTTGTTTTTATCAATATATTGAAAGTAATAAAATTCAAAACTTGATTATTATGATAGGAAAATGTGAGAAAATAGTATATTCTTCGTGAAAAATAAATAAAGTACTAAAAGAAAGAAAAGAGAGACATCAATATAATACAAAAAGACAAGTTTGTCAAAAACAACCAAAAAAGAGAGAAAAATGTATTGATAGAAACGTCACAAAAAAATGTATTGATACCACTTGTGTTTCCTAATTCAACCTTTAGAAGAAAGGTTTTCGATTATATTTTCTGCGTCATAACCAAGTTTTTGATCTTTTTCACAATGTTTCTCACCATTTCACTGTGTATGTTTCTTGGCATCTACATCTTCCAAAAAGAATCTTAACATATTTATATGACTTTTTAATTAATCATATTGGCTTTATCTCCCTGAAATCGATTAGGTTCTGTTGATATCTTATTTTGTTGACAAGAGGTCGATCGGAATGCTGACATGATAGTATCGTCAAGAAACATATCTATATTAGTATTTGCGAAGTGATTCGGGTTGTGGTTTAACGCACAGATTTCTGTGTCGTTTTGATTAATGAAATTATGATGATTTGATTGGTTGATAATTGTTATAATTTGATTGGTTGAATTAGTTAATTTTAAATCATTAAAATCGATATTAGTTGCTAAAAAATAAAAAACTTCTTTAATTCAAGTAGGATTTGATTGGTTGATAATTGTTATAATTTGATTGGTTGAATTAGTTAACTTTAAATCATTAAAATCGATATTAGTTGCTAAAAAATGGAAAACTTCTTTAATCAAATCCTCAAAAAAATTTCAAACCCAAAAAAAATATACATACCTTCCAATACGTCGTTTGCGCTGATTGAGATGGTAGTGTGTTGGTTAAGTGTTTTGTCCATTTATCGAAGGTTCACGGGTTCGAATCCTATAATTAG